GAAAAATAAAGTACTAAGATATGATGTTTTATCAAGAATAGAATTTTTCGAAATTTTCTTTTGTTTTTGAGTTCTACAAAAAAAATTATTTTCTTAAATAGCAACCCACTAGAAAACTATTTTTCTCTTAAAGGTTATGATCTAAGGATTACAACCATCTACTTCATTTTTAATTTTTTCAAAAAATTTTTTTTTAAATTGCAATTTTGACTAAAAAAATCGCATAACTCAAAAACAAAATACGATCTCATTTTTTATATTACGTTAATGTATATTAATTATTATTTTCTGAAGACAAATGATCTAAAAAAAAAACTGCTTGGTTCCATACTTTATATTCACCCTGTATACAGGGTTATTCATAAATATGAAGCAATATTTGAACTTCAAAAATGACCTATAAAATGATGTTAATTTAAATAATAACTCGTGTCCCATTTCTACTGATAAGAATTTTACAGCCCTCGGAATGTGGGTATGGAAATTTGATTTTTTTGTAATAACTTTGGAACTATTTGACCAAATATTATAAAATTTGGAACATTTCCTTGTGACAACATACCTTTTGAACGGGTAACCACGAAAACCGGATACATCTACTCAATTTCCGGTTCCAGCAGTTGCAGGTCACATTTTCTGTGTTTTTCCATTTTTTTGCTCTCTTAACACCAATTTTTTATTGCCCACATCGATAGAGTAATCAATTTCGAATAAAAAACGCATAACCTTCAATACCCTTAAAATGGACCGTTTCAAAGATATTTTAATTTAAACTGAGAACTGCACAACGCTGAAATCAAAAAGTAGGAATTTTGAATAAATGATATCCACGGCAACCAATGACCATGGTCACATAAATCCCTACCAGGCATCTGTTAACTTTGACGATAAATTTTTGTGAATTATTTATAAATTAAATGCTACGAGATCGATTTGGATTTATTGTAGATTACGTTTGGAGTCTGAAGTAAACTGTTTTATTAAATATTTTCAATTAATCGTCCAAGAATGGTCCAATGTCAAAGTTGACAGATGCCTGACAGCGATTTGTGGAACCATGGTCATTTGTTGCCGTGGATATCATTTATTCAAAATCCCTATTTTTTGATTTCAGCGTAGTGCAGTCCTCAGTTTAAATTAAAATATCTTTGAAACGGTCCATTTTAGGGGTATTAAAGGTTATGCGTTTTTTATTCGAAATTGGTCTCTCTATCTATTAGGGCAATAAAAAATTGGTGTTAAGAAAGCAAAAAAATGGAAAAACACAGAAAATGTGACTGCTGGAACCGGAAATTGAGTAGATGTATCCGGTTTTCGTGATTACCAGTTCAAAAAGTGTGTTGTCACAAGAAAATGTTCCAAATTTTATAATATTTGGTCAAATAGTTCCAAAGTTATTACAAAAAAATCAAATTTCCATACCCACATTCCGAGAGCTGTAAAATACTTATCAGTAGAGATAGGACACGAGTTATTATTTAAATTAACATCATTTTATAGGTCATTTTTGAGGTTCAAATATTGTTTCATATTTATGAATAACCCTGTATACCTATTATCATACATAAATTTTTCAAAATTTCAGTCCATTTTAATATTATTTCACATCCTTTGGTCAATATTTTGCTCAAAAGTTGATAACAAAAAACCTGTCAAGTTTTAAAAAATAAAAAGTCAATTAATTGTGAGAGAGCTATTTATTTAGTCTCACAATTGAAATAAAAGCAGTGTATGAAAAATTTTCAGGTCTCGACGACCACCGCTTATCGCGCCCATACTCGCAAAAGCCCCTCATCAAATTCGGAACAATTCCCTGGTCTCACACCGATTCAACAATAGCGAAATATTTCAAAGATATGCACGCATATATGAGACAATTCAACAAATCCACAGTTCTCGAAGGAGTCGACGCCGTTTTAAGCGCCGAAATGGACGCTTTCATATACGACGGCACTGTCTTAGACTATCTTACGTCGCAAGACGAAGACTGTAGACTCCTCACTGTCGGTTCTTGGTATGCAATGACCGGCTATGGCCTGGCCTTCCCCCGAAATTCCAAGTACCTGAAAATGTTCAACAAACGGCTGTTGGACTTTCGAGAAAACGGCGACCTTGAACGTCTGCGCCGCTACTGGATGACCGGGGTCTGCAAGCCCGGGAAACAGGAGCACAAGAGCTCAGATCCCTTAGCTTTAGAACAGTTTTTATCAGGTCAGTAGTTAGTTTTTCCAACCTCAGAATCATCGAAAAAAACATTGGCACAGTAGAAAACTTGAAACATCCTGAGATTTGTATATTTTGACTCGTTAGTGCTTCATGTTTTAATGTAAAAAACTATGTTTTTTAGTTATTGGATAAGAAAAAGCAATAAGTTAGCACTAAGTATTAACAAGAAATTATAAAGCACTAAAGTTATAAAGCATTAGTGCTTTATAGTGCTTCATATCTCATTGTTAACTTTACATAAAAATTACATTAGAAATTTTTTTCCATGTATCAAAAATCTTGAAGCACTAATCTTTTAATTCGAATATTATCAGCTTTTTTCAGGCTGGTAGGTAGTGTTCGTTGGTGCTTCATACCTCAATGTTGGCACATATAAGCTGTGTTTCAATATAAAAAAGTGTTTTTGAATTAACACATAAGTAAAAGCAGTAACGATAATACATATCTTAAGTAAGTACCTCTCAATGTTTACTTTCAGAATGCTTAAAACACTAGTCTTTTATTTCAAATATTATCAGCTTTTATCAGGTCAGTGGTTAGTGTTTCGTTGGTGCTTCATACCTCAAAGTTGTTAAATGTAAAAAGGTGTTTTTGAATTAACAAATAAGTTAAAACAAGTAACGATAATACATATCTTATAGTACCTAGTGCTTCATATCTCAATGTTTACTAAAAATTCTTGAAACACTAAACTTCCAAAAATTAAAATATTCAGGTCAGTAGTTAGTTTTTCATAAATCAAAATAATAAAATAGAAAACTTGAAATACCCTTAGATTTGTATATTTTGACCCGTTAGTGCTTCAAAGTGCTTCATGTTTCAATGTAAAATGATGTTTTCGAGTTACCAGACAAGTAAAAACAGTGACGATAATATCTTATTAGTACTTAGTGCTTCACAGTGCTTCATATCTCACTCTTGACTGAACATAATAATTACGTTATAGTAGAACATTTTTCAATGTTTCAGAATTCTTAAAACACTAATCTTTTAATTCGAACATTATCAGCTTTTATTAGGTCACTGGTTAGTGTTTCGTTGGTGCTTCATACCTCAAAGTTGTCACATTTAAGCTATGTTTCAATTCAAAAGATGTTTTTAAATTATATTAACAGACAAGTACTAGTACTTAGTGCTTCATATCTCAGTGCTTACAAAAAATTCTTGAAGCACTAATCTTCAAAAAATTAAAATATTATCAGGTCAGTGGCTAGTGTTTCAAACCTCAAAATTATCAAAAAAAGCATTGACAAAGTAGAAAACTTAAAACACCCTGACATTTGTATATTTTGACTCGTTAGTGCTTCAAAATGCTTTATGTTTCAATGTAAAAAGCTATGTTTTTAAGTTATTGGACAAGAAAAAGCATTCACGATAATTTCTTATTAGCACTTAGTGCTTCATATCTCACTGTTGACTGAACATAAAAATTACGTTATAGTGGAAAATTTTCAATGTTTTAGAATTCTTGAAGCACTAACCTTCTAATTCAAATATTATCAGCTTTTATCGTTGGAGCTTCATACTTCAAAATTGTCACAGCTATGTTTCAATATAAAAAGATGTTTTTAAATTGACAAGTACAAGTACTCCATACCCCAGTGTTTACTAAAAATTCTTGAAGCACTAGTCTTCAAAAAATTAAAATATTATCAGGTCAGTAGTTTGTGTTTCAAATGTCAAAATTATTGAAAAAAAAACATTGTCACAGTAGAAAACTTAAGACACCGTGAAATTTGTATATTATTGACCCACTAGTGCTTCAAAGTGCTTTATGTTTCAATGTAAAATGATGTTTTCAAATTAATAGACGAGTAAAAACAGTGACGATAATATCTTATTAGTACTTAGTGCTTCATAGTGCTTCATATCTCTACGTTATCATAGAACATTTTTCAAGTTTGAGAATTCTTGAAGCACTAATCTTTTTGTTGGTGCTTCATACTTCAAAGTTGTCACATAAAAGCTATCATACTTAAATTACGGTACAGTAGAAAACTTGAAGCACTTATTCTAAGTTTCGCATATTATTTAGTGCTTCATCAATGCTTCAAAGTGCTTCATGTTTCAATGTAAAAAGTTGTATTTGAGTTAACGATACAGTAAAAGCAGTAACAATAATATCTTGTTAGTGCTTAGTGCTTCAGAGTGTTTCATATCTCAGTATAAACAAGATATAAAAAAATTGTTAGACAAAATTGCGTTACAGCAAAAAAATGTTCAACGTTTGAGAATATTTGAAGAACTAATTTTCAAATTAAAATGTTACAGATTATTATAGCTTATTAACAGAATAGTGATTAGTGTTTCATTTATCCTGAAATTTGTATATTATTTTGTGCTTCATTAGTGCTTTGTTAGTACCTCAAAGTGCTTCATTTTTTAATCAATTGACAAGTATAAGCAGCAACAATAACATTTTGTTAGCATTTAATGCTTCAGTGTGCTTCATATCTCAGTATTGACTGAATAGAAATAAAATGTTAAATAAAATTACGTAACAGTAAAAAAAGTAATGTCTGAGAATTCTTGAAGCACTAATCTTCAAATTCGAATATTATCAGGTTTTTATCAGATCAGTAGTCAATGTTTCGTTGGTGCTTCATATCTCAAATTTGTCACTTATCTAGCTATCAGAATTAAATTACGGTACAGTAGAAAACTTGAAGTACTTATTCTAAGCTTCGTATTTTACTTAGTGCTTCATTAATGCTTCATGTTTCAATGTAAAAAGTTGTTTTTGAGTAAACGGACAAGTAAAAACAGTAACGATAATATGTTATTAATACTTAGTGCTTCATATCTCAATGTTTACATAAAATTATAAGCTGTCTTAAAACACTAATCTTCAAATTCAAATATTATCAGGTCAGTAGTTAGTGTTTCATTGATGTTCCATACCTCAAAGTTGGCAAAAAACCTTGTCGCTAATCGTGAGATTCGTATATTATTTAGTGCTTGTTAGTATTTCAATGTGCTTCATGTTTCAAAACTTTTGAGTCAACGGACAAGTAAAGTAGTACTTAGTGCTTCAGAGTGTGAATTTTTGAAGCATAATGAAACCTTATCGGTGCTTTGTTAGTATTGATGTTGGAGGAAAATTTCATAAAATTAGGGACAGAAAAAAAAATGAAATTTGAAACAACACTAATTTTTGTATATTACAGTAGGTATTTCAGAAAGCGCTTCTTCTCTATGTGGGACATGAAGCACTAATGAAACACTAAATAATATTCAAATTTAAAATTCAGTGTTTCAAACTTTAATTTTTTGAACTTGTGTTTCAATTTTTTTTATTAGCGTTCCTATTGTTAATGGCGGGCATACTCCTCGCTGCGCTGCTGTTGTTTCTCGAACACTTGTACTTCAAATACGTTCGAAAGCACCTCGCGAAGACCGACCGGGGGGGCTGTTGCGCCCTCATCAGTCTCTCAATGGGTAAAAGTCTGACATTTCGTGGGGCCGTATACGAGGCCCAAGACATACTACGAAATCACCGCTGTAGAGACCCCATTTGCGACACTCATCTCTGGAAAGTCAAAAGGGAGTTGGATATCTCCCAAATGAGGTGTAAGCAGTTGGAGAAGGAGTTGGAAGCACACGGTATAAAACCTCCACCTCCATGCAAACGGTGAGTCTTAATCCAGATTCCCCATCTCATCTCGACTTAGCACGAGCATGTTAGCACTTGAATTTTTTAAAGCAATCGCTTGAATTGGCACAATTTTAAGCCACGTTTTCACCAAAAAAAATTATGAAAAAAAATCTGCAGCCATTTTATAGTGTTAATCATTATGTATGAGTAGGCGTCAACGTAACACCACCTGTCTTTCGTCCTGTCTGGATTCTTCGGAATCACCTGAGTAAGTCTGTGACCCACATGTGTGTGTTAGAGTCATAGTAAGCTTGGCATTTACGTTCACAGTCTTTAGATAAATAGGCTTTTCGGTGACACGTCTTATTTTTTATTTATGGGATGCTTTAGCCTACAGCATGCGATGTGAAATGATAAATCAAAGGATTTCAACTTTGGACCGAATATGGGTTTCACACAAACACATATCTCTTTTGTATTTTTGCACAACAAAATGCAACATTAACATATCTTGGAACATATTTTTATTTCACCTCAAGCAACTTGCAGCTCATAGTAATAGAAACATCAAATTATACCTTAATAAAATTTAATTATATGAATGAGGTTTAGAAAAGGGCGAGCGGCAAAGCCACGAGCCCCTTTTATAAACTTTGACAAAATCTGATTTCGTTATACTAAACGGGAAAAAGATATGAATTTTTCAAAGCCAATTGAGGAAACAAATCTAAATTTATCATTTTTAAAAGTCACCGCTTTAATCTGCATTTTTTTGGAATCTACCGAGAAAAAAATCGACGAAATAGTCCCTTATCTAAGAATTTTTCGTGGCTAATTGGAAAAATTAATTTAAATTCATTATTTTTGCCTGTTTTTCAAAGCAAATTCGAATTGCAGTAAAACAGTTTTTTATGTCCAATCGGTGAGGTTTTTGCAAAATCTTGAATTTGATTGGTTGGAGATATTTGTTAATTTATTGGTGATTTACAAGGACCAATCACAATCATTTCACATTCACGTAATTACCACTAAGGTGAGAACAAACCGGTTTTTATTTCTTATTGGCCAAAATCCGACAAAAACCTAGCAACGATAAGTAACTCCACCCATTTAAAAAATTTTAAAAAATCATGAATAATTATTGATTTTTCAATCGAATTTTTATAACAAATCAGCGTTTAGTGTGAGTTATTTTACTTTAATTGGATCTAATTTTTCACAATGGGTGGAGCCAACCCCAAAGCCAATATGAATCATGCATTTTCGATTATTAGACCAATAAAAAGTAAAAAATCATTTAATGCGTTAAAATTGAGTTAGCCAATCAATTACGACTTTTAAAATCAACCAATCAGAACACGTCTTAAATTTTTCGACAAGAAAATTAAAATTTTTGTTTTAAAAATCGGCTTTGATAGTATTATCAATATAAAAAATAATTATTTGAAGAATAAACGTTAATTAATTTTCTTTACTGTCAAATGTCCAAACTGTCAAAATTTGACATAACACTATTTATTGTGTACTAAAATTTGTATTTTGCTCAATTTTTCGTTCAAAAACACCGATTCGAGTCGTTTTTCGTGGGTTTAGCCTTTATTTGGCAAATCAAAAAATTAATATAAACCTTCGAAAAAAATTTCAATTTTCTGATTCAAAATGGTCCAAAAAATTCAAATTCTCAAACAAAAGACCATTTTTTTGTTTTTTTGCTAGCGATGGCTCACAGAATTACAGAAATATTAAAAATGTCAAAAAAATCGGTCAACCATTAATGAAATAATAAAATCATGTGTCAAATGGACCACTCAAAATTCGTATTGAAATTGATAAATCTAGGTAAGTATATTTTTGTGTTTCAATGCATTACACAAACTTCAGTATTATTTCAATTTTCTTTACAATAAAACAAACAATTATGTGGTTTACATCACATTATTGCTTTCGAACAAACTAAAACATGTCAAAAAACGGAAACCAAAATGATTAAAAAGACAAATACAAAATTTGAGTTCCGTCATTATTACTCTTCTTTCTCAAATACAAATGTAAAAATAATGATTTTCGTTATTGGCATAACCCAGAAAGTTTAATTAATAGTCAGGAATACTTACTCAAAATAAAAAAATCATGCCTGCAACCAGATTAATTAGAAGAAAACTTCGATTTATCAAACTTCAGTAAGTACAATAATGATGGAAATTGGAAATACAAAAACAGAGCCTAGATTTCATATTGAAGATTTTTTTTTTCTAATTAATTGATTGAAATGAATTAAACCATTTTTAACTAATTTTACCAACAAACTTAAATTCTTAATACAGGAAAATTATTCCTTTGATTTAATCACTCAAACGATCTCAAACATAAGCCGCTTTGCATGAGCATGGAGCCTCATATAGGGACAAAATATCGTTTCAATGAGTAGATATAGAACCACTAACAAAAGTCTTAATTTTGGAAAAAAAAATAATAAAAATAATTTGATAATTTTCCAAGGAAAATTTCACTTATGCTTTGAGAATTTAGTACTTTCATTAGTTATCGAAGACTTCGCTAAAGTTTTGAAAATACCTTGTTATCCGGGAAACTCGGCAATATTGAAAATCACTTCAAGAATCTTTGTAAGACAAATGCTAATTTAAAGTTTCAAGGAGTCTCTTAACTAGGATTTAATTAATTTAATTTCTAACTGGGCCAGTGTTGGGTACTAGATTTACAATTGTTTTCGCACATTTGGTCCAAGAATCGAGTAGTTTAATTAAATTAAGTAAGAGATTTCAACTAACTTTGTAATTAGAGTTAAATACAGGGTGTGACAAAATTCGCGCCCCAGAAAAAAAAATTCAAGTAAGATAAGATACCAGAAACATGGAAAAAACGTTGAGAAAATTCTATCTCTCAAAAATTTTTGACATTTGGCATTTTTTATGTCTATTTAAATTGATAATCTTGTATACAGGGTGTCCCAGCGAGTTGAAAAATATAGGACATTGATAAGATACTAATCTAGTCCATCGCCTAAAATTATTTTTAACTATACATCGTGTCTCAAAAATAAGTTACAATACAAACTTGTATTTTTTTAAATGAAACAACATATGTTTCTTGGCGTTTTTGGATGTAGATTTTTATGACAATGTTTTAAGCTAAACTTTTATTGGTCGATTTTGCTTATTTTTAAAAATAAGACGGTTTTTTTGACAAAAACATGCACTTTTTAAAAATTTATTACACAAAAACTAAGACATTTAGAAAAATTTTTTTACTACCGCAAAGAAGAAGGTACAAGCTATAAGATTGTAATATTTCTTTAGTGTGTTGCATTTGCAAAGATAAAAAAATGCATATAATAATAATTCCAATTTCAGTATTTATAACGACTTTTACAATCTCTGAATAAATCAGATATTGATAGGCATTGTTGCTACAATTAATATTGAATGTTAAATATCTTTTCATTTATCAAT